AGATTTATCAAACCTTTAGTTATCCAGGGATTCCTGCTTCTGTCAAAATGTTTAATTTTAACTCTGTTTGTACTACATTCAATTAAATATTTTATGCGTTTAACGAGTGTGTTTGCAGCATCATTAACATTCGTTGCACAGTACACTGCTGTCTCCGATTCTAATTTGATATTTCAAGTAGTTTTTTATTATCGACAAAACACCTAAATTTCACTGTTTCATTATTGGAGATGGATCTACTTTTATTTTTTTCTGGTGATGATATAAGTATTACAGTGGGTAAATGATCGGTAATATGGTTTTCAACAATTAACGGTATGTACCGAAAGAAATTTGAAAAATTTTTGATGAAACGATGATCAATGCAAGAACTGGAACTATTATTGACTACTCTTGTTGGTAAATTTATATTTGATATGAATCCATTGCTCTGCATTACAGTGAGGTATTTGTTTACTAATTTGGTATGTTGGAGTATATTAATATTCATATCTCCTATTATGATGTGGTGTGACTGTATGGCATTTTTGTTATCTAACAAAAATTTTTCAAGATTTTCTACAAATGTATAAGGGTTTGATGATGGTGGTCGATAGACAGATGTGACTTTTACACTTTTGTTATTAATTCTCAATATCAAATCCAACACTGTGATACCGTCATCAAATTTAACAAAATCACATCTGTAGTTGATATCATTTCTTACATATACTACCACCCCATCATTCTGGTTGTACGTACCATTATTGTAAAGCGTATCATAACCTTCCAAACAGAACAAAGATACATCATTAATTTTCCAAGTTTCTGTGAATATTATTATATCAAATTTGTGTTTAATTGTAGTTAGGAAGATATTAAAACAGTAAAAATTTTGGTTTAGGCTTCGTATATTCATGTGATATAAGCTAACATTGAAATTAGAATATTCTAACCATTTATTAAGAGCATTTGCGTCTTGAGCAATATTTGTATTGATATCATTAACCTGAAAATTATTTACGTAACTATCCATTAAAATTTTGCAAATGATATGTAGCTCAAAAAACGTAAAAAGAACTAAACGCTCAAAACATTATTCTGGATAAATACTGTTTTTGAAAATATAAATACGACGGGCATTTTTTGTCTGTGGGCGAGTGACGAACATCATTATTCTTATTATGCTTAACGTTATAGTTCATACAGTTAGAACATTTTAAAATGTTTACAGTACAAATTTCACTTCTATGTTGATTGTCCACATTTAATGCATATTTCCGCGCCCCTACATTTTTTGTCTGTGTGACCAAACTTCAAGCATTTTCTACACTGCGATATCTGGTTATTGTCATAGACAAATAAGTTTTGCCAACCTAGTAGTATTCTTGATTTCTTGTTGATAAATATGTCTCTATATAGCTCTCCAGAAACTTCAGCGAATATAGTATAAGAATTTCGGAATGGTATGTGTCGTACAAAAGTGATTTCGATTTCGTTTTCATTAATGAATGTATTCTGGGATATGATTTCTTCTTTAATTTCTGCTTCTGAAGGTTTTTTTTCAGTTTTGTAGCCTATGATCTTAATTTTCGGTATCATTTCTCTTGCTCCTGATATATTGTATTTTCCCTTCAACTTAGTTTCTAGTTCATTTTTGAGTTTCTGGTAATAACATTGCTCAACTTGAATTTCGACGCCGCCGTTTTTATAATTATTTACTTTCTCTATCTTGACTTCAATACTTGCTAGATTAATGTTACTAGTTAGGTCTTTTCTGGTGTCATTATAATGTTGGGTCCTTTCAGGAGTAACTAATATGGATTTCATGTCATTGTTGTTCTTGTTGTTGCTATTGATTTTAGGAGTATTTTGCTTTAAAATTTGTGAGTATGATGTATTCTCTGTAGTTCTTTTCTCAAGTTGTTCTAGTTGATCAGTTACAATAGCCAAAGTAGATACAACGGATTCCTTCTCTACTATGTTGGCAGAAATCAAGTCATATGCTTCCTGTAGTCTACGGTTTTCATTTACCAACTGATATATAAATCTTTCCTTTTCTTCCAAAAGCTGTTTAAGATAATAATTCTCTTTGACAATAGTTTCTTTGGTACTCTTTTCACTTACGCTAATTTGAATATTTGGTTCTAGAGTTTCGTTTTCGCATTCATTTTTCTTCTTTTTGGTCATATTGCATATGAACACTTCTTATATCAATTTCTCATAAAGTTCACTTTGACAGAATCAATTTGTCAACAATTGTCAATTTGGTATTACGGCCGCAAAATAGTGTTAGATGATGGAAGGATCTCACCAATTAGCTCCACAAATCTGGCCGACCTCAGGAAATATTAGATTACACAGCAGCAATTTTTCTCGACTGGGAAACTAATGAAATTGACGAAAAGTTCTAGAGCTAGTTAAAGGTAGATAGCTAGTAGTCTATATATGTGTTTGTTTAATTTTTTTTTTAGTTTTACTTAGTCAGCTGATTTATCTTTTACAATGTTTGAATTATATTAAAGTTATGCTGCTTCAAGGTTTAATTGTCTCTAGCTATCGGTTAATGCCCAGCTCAAGTTTATCTTTTTGGGATTTTCCGTGTGTATTGTACGTATTATTGGAATATACACCTTTATAAATTATTCTTTTCCTACAATAAACCACTCCTACTACCCGTGTACAGCGTTGTTTCAAGCTAGTTGCCGTGGTCTAGGTAAACGAAAACAGAGCAAAACAACATCCATCAGAGGCATGAAGTTGATAGACAAACGACAGCACCAGTACCACCTAGTATCAAAAACGGCCACTGCGACATAGAATAGCCACTGTTGGCTGTAACTGTGAAGATATCTTTCGAGGATAAAGATTGAGGCACCTATGTATCGATTTTCCAGGTACAGCTATATGATATACAACTTTCTGAGAAAGTTGAATCCATGCAATCGTACGCCAAATGCTAAAAAAAATACATCCAAGACAATGCACATAATTTTCACTTTGAAGGAAGTAGAGAAACATGTGCATCTTCATATAAAATGTACATTTTTAGGGGGACAAAGGCTCAGACTGACGGCGACTATTCTCCCTATCGAGAAGCGCACTTCGTGTTCTTTGAAATATTAGAGATGACTGTAGACACAACTTCATAGACGAGAGGATACTCATATTGTTTTCTTTATAATTATACGAGGTATAAAAGTATACGTATATATGATAAACAGTATCTGAACAGCGAATAAAACAACGAATACAGAAGTAGCGGTACCTTGGATATTCCACTTTTTAGGCTCTCTAAAAGCCAAAAAGTGTAAGATATATAACACCAAAATATTTTAATAAACTTTCGTTAAGTATCAGAACTTTAAATTTGAAAGCTTGCAAACAAACAAGGATTTTTTAATTATAAAGGCGTCCAATGGGTTTTGGGATTTTAAATTTTGAATTCTGGCTTGTTTTAAGCTAGATTGAAATTTTTTGAATATTAATTATGTAATTTATCGCTATAATCTTGTGAGTAGTGTAAGTACAATCGATGTATAATAATACTAATAAAGTATTTGAATTGTATATTGAACTGTGTGCCTACATTGAAAGTGATGTGGTATTGTAAATAAGCTAAAATAGAACTGACTTCTGTATTTTTTCCTCTCTCTCAATCCTCGCTCGAGGCCATGAGTTATCTCTCAGATCAAAGAGATTCTTCAATAAATGTGTAATTGGATCTTTTACAATATTCCAAACCGTATTTTTTCCTTCACCAATCTCTGACATACCTCTACTTACCATAATCCCCCAACTAACAGCCGATAAAAACATTCCCATAGCAACAAAACCACTCCAAAGCTGTTGGTGACATTATGCCGACTTTTGTTGATATTATGTTGTTTTTTTTTGACATTATGTAGGTTTCTCTACGAGATATTCACTTAGCACTTAGTTGTACGTGTTGCCTAAACGTCATGAGGCTTGTTATCAATCTTTGGCTCTGATGTGATGTAAAATCTGTTTCTGAAAAGGCATTACTGGACGTCTAAGCTGTAAGTTGTATGTGTTGATGATAATTACATTGGGTTCTTGTCTCAAATACACTTAATTAAGATTCAAAGCTAGAAATTAGTTGCGCATCCACTTTTTCTTATCCATTCTGGAAATTACGTATACAAATTTGATGAATTTCAAAAATGAGAGAGATAAGAAATAATTATATTCACTGTACACTGTCGACTTACAAGCCATATGCTAACAGTAATTACACAAATCGCGGGCGCGGTGATGATTTCCCGTAATTTTCCTCAGTTTTTCGTAATTTATAACTTTGAACATAACCTCTTCAAAAACACAACATATAAATAACCCGTCGGGCACAGCCAATAGATATACTTCATTGGCAGCATATTCAGTAACGATTTTCTCACACAGCAAATATCACTGATTTTATACACATGCAGACCAATACAGATGCGATCTTGCTATTCAACCAACTTTCTTCTCAGAGATAAAAACTACAGACAAGGACCATTTGGCCTCACAAAACATATGCAACCAATAATGCGTGTAGCTTAGTTGAGTGACTCCTCCTTAGATGGACGTTCACAACGATCCTAGTGAGCAAACGTGGAATGACTGTTTGCGACCTAAAAACTACCTAGTTTGCAAGATGACACCTTGTAGGTTTTTTTTTGACCTTTTATAGGTTTTTTACATGATACCCATCCCGAAGATAAACGAAACTAGCTGTCATTTTGGGAAAAAGTAGGCTAGTCTTGCCATTTGGTCCACCTTCAAAATCTTTGACACTATACAACTTTTTAGCTACAATTTTTCTAAAATTATCAAAATATTAGAGTGGGCTGTTAATTTACTATCCTAGGTATGTTGTTTTGAACCACCCAGTACAAGTAACTGTACTCAAGAAATCACACGTGCATCGACATGCCACAACGGAGTTTATTTTTACCAGGTATAAATAGTATAAATAGGGCCATTTTGATAAATACCTTTTCGATAATAATTCACAAATGGATCTCAAGTGGCTCAATGTATTGGCCACAACCCACTTCTTCTCTATTACTCATTCCTCAGCCATGTATATCAGTCTCATATTCAGCTCCTTATTAGTCTGCTTGTGGATTTACATATTGATAAACTTAAAAAATCGGGCGTTTTCTAACATTTCAACTTCCATAGAGTTTAACATTGTCGGGTCGGATAGAATATCCGTAAAGTTGAATAACAAAAGCGGCGGTAGTGAAGCAAGGAAGAAAAAGTTGGTTCATGTGCCTAAGTTTATGCTGGAGTTGTACGAGAAAAATAAGATTGGAAATGCTACTAGAAATGCGCCTGATATTGTTAAAAGTTTGATACCTACACATGCAGGTAAGAAATAAATATATTGTAACAATAACAATCAGCTTCTAAGCTGGAAATGATCGTTCAGCATTACGCTTAGTAACCGTTGTTATGCTACATTTTACTGTGATTTCTACCACTTCAATATTTTGTCCAAGTCTCCCGTTCAAAGGATGTGTACACTATTCAATTGTACTCGCAAAGCTTGCGTCTTCGAACTTTACCTTGATAAAGCTGTAAGTTCGTATATTGTTGTTGATTATTTACTTATACACCGACAATGAAAGCTGAAATGAAGCTACATATAGAGCAAGCACATTTAATACGTCCTCGTATCGCAGATCAGTTCCTATCGTTTTACCTTAATTTTTTGTCACCTTATACCGAGCTACATATTTATTTATACAGGGTGTTCCTTAATGATATGCGAATATTTAAGGGTGTTAATCTACATGAAAAGTGAATGTTAGTTTGCTTTATAAACTATGGTCCAAAAATGCTTTCTTACAAAAACTCGGGGTGTTGAAGTTTTAGGAGAAAAATGGAAATTAATTAATAGTTTCTGAACCGCTTCAGATATTTCACTGATATTTAGTACCTAGTGAAAGTTAATAATTTCAATGCAAAAATAATTTTTAGCTTAAACAGTGGCGTGCGTACGAGTATTGACTTCGACATTTTTTAAGAAAAAAATGGTACGCCAATGGTTATTTGCCAAATAAACATTATTTTTAAATTCCCCGTTCAATTTAAAACAAATGATCTCTCACGAATTGCTTTCATTCGATGCGCCATTTTTGAGTAAACAAAAATAAAAACCGTTCTATTGTCCCAGAAAATTAATGTAATAATTGAAGAATGCAATTTAGCAATAAATATCTAGTTGCTCTGGAATATGTCACTGGCTTTTAACATCTGACAAGCTCTGTTATCCAAATCTGTTCGCTGTGACATCTTTTTCATTATTTAGTTTTTGCAATCTTGTTAATAATGGTGAATTACTTAAATGCTGAAATGACAGATATGCATTACGTATATGGCCTTGCCGACAGTAATGGTGAGCAAGCTAGACGGATTTATCACCAGAGATATCTCGATCGTGCTTTGCCAGATAGTCGAACCTTTTCTAATATTCATCGGCGTCTTGTTGAAACTGGTTCTGTCTGAAAAGGAGCCTCTGAAGGTAGACCTCTAAGTGTGAGAACACCTGAAATTGAGGAAGCAGTGCTGCACGGAGTCGAAGAACATCTTGAAACGAGAACGAGAAAGATCGCTAGACACTTAAATATTTGCCATCAAATTGTTTGGAGAATTTTAGTGGATTTTTTGTAATATCCTTACCATATTTCAAGAGTACAGGCATTACTTCCCATTGATTTTCCAAGGCGTGTGACCTTCTGTCAGAGGTATCTTCAAAAAATTACAGAAAATCCGCAATTTGAATCAGTGATTCTGTTCACGAACGAAGCTAATTTTTCTCGAAATGCCATTCAGAATTTCCACAATAATCATTGGGCAGAAGAAAATCCCTATGCCGCAACCGAAACCCATTTCCAACACCAATTTGCGAACAGGAGTTATTGGCAACCACTTTTATGGCCCATTCTTCTTGCCGGGACGACTTGACGGACAGACTTACCTCAATTTTCTTCAACAACAGTTGCCTTTGCTGCTTGATGTTCCGTTAGTAATAAGAAACAATATGTGGTACATGCATTTTATATCATTTAAATTCAACTTTACTTTTTAAAAAATTTATTTGAGGACAGTAACTACCGTCCGTTACAAACGTTCACAATTACTTGACTTGACGGAGTCTAACTGGGTATTGAACACAAGTTTACATAAGTGACTGTTACAGTGCCTAGCCGGGTATTGAACATGAAATGGGTGCAAGGCCTATTTATACTATTGGTGTGCTTACAAAGCACTTCTAGAAAACAAAGCATAAGCAACGAGTTAGCGAGAAGTCCTTATCTGTTGCTGAGCTAGCGTCTGATGCAACATTGTATGGAATAGTAAGCCCATTGTTATGAGTGCATATAACATGCATGATGGTGCACCAGCGCATTTCAGTGTAGCGGTTCGTAATTATTTACAAACTGTTTATCCAAATCGTTGGATTGGCTGCGTTGGGCCCCAAGAATGGTCACCAAGGTCCCCAGACCTCAACAGTTTAGATTTCTTTTTGTGGAGCAATGTCAAGACACTAGTGTATACAAGTCCCATTAACACTGTAGAGGAATTAAGAGAAAGAATATGTAGTTGCAGCTTGTGATGAATAAAAAACACTCCAGAGTGCGCAATTCCATGAGAAGGAGGGCGGAAGCATGCATACTAAGTGAAGGGGGCTATTTTCAACAATTTTTGTAATCACATCGTTGGTTTTAATGTTATGTTTATGTTGTCATTACCCCTAAAATTTTGCAAGTTAGACAATAAAACGGTTTTTATTTTTTTACTCAAACACGAAGGTCCCCAGACCTCAACAGTTTAGATTTATTTTTGTGGGGTTATCTTAAGACACTAGTGTAGTCCCATTAACACTGTAGAGGAATTAAGAGAAAGAATAGTTGCAGCTTGTGATAGAATACTAAGTGAAGGGGGCCATTTTCAACAGTTTTTCTAATCATTTCGTTGGTTTTAATCTTATGTTTATGTTGTCAGTTGTTGTTGTTCATTACCCCTAATGTATTTAATTTTTTCAATTAAATTAATAATAATTTTGCAAGTTAGACAATAGAACGGTTTTTATTTTTTTACTCAAAAATAGCGCATCAAAGACAAACAATTCAAGAGAGATCATTTGTTTAAAATTGAACGTGGGATTTAAAAACAATTTTTATTAAAGCTGAAAATTATTTTTGTATTGAAAAATATGCAACTTTATTAACTTTCAACACGTACCAAATATCAGTGAAATATCTGACGCGGTTCTGAAAATATTAAGTAATTTCCATTTTTTTCCTAAAACTTCAACACCCCGAGTTTTTGTAAGGAAAAATTTTTGGACCATAGTTTATAGAACAAATTAACATTAATTTTTCATGTAGATTCACACCCTTAAATATTTGCATATCGTTAAGGAACACCCTATGGAAATAAACGTATTCTTATTATAACTATAACAAATAGACAAAGTTTTTAACCGCAGAGCTTCATTCTATGTTGATTTCTTAGTCACTAACTCCAGTTCCCTATAGAAGTCGACATCAAGCCATATATGGGGGATAGGCCAAGTCACAATAGTTATCAGAAAGATTAAAAAAATCTAAGTTGTGTACTTTTAAAATTATAGGCTTTAAAAACATCGGAACAATCCGAAAAATCTACACCCTGTGATGATCTTTCAGTTCCCATTACTACAAATTTCAATTTTTTTTTAAACGGAGTGACGGATTTTTCCGTTTTTTTAAAGCGTATAATTTGAAAGGTAGACGGCTTAGATTTATTTTATATTTTTCCGTTTGAATCTGTCCGTATTTCTCACCGGTCAACCACATCCTTCAGATTTTCTAAATTAGAATCAATTGACAGATACTTCTAGAACCAAAGACTCCTAGGCCCGTATCGTCAGTCGTCCCTACAATTGTAGGGCGCCTTTATGGCCTCCTTGATTGTCATAGTTTTCTACTTCTCCGTGTCAGAACTCTATTTTGAGGTTGTCACAAACATCTATTTGCATCAAATTGTGCTTGCTTTTGAGTTATATCATGTTTTATCAGCCTAAAATTTCCTACAATTTAAAAAGAAAACATATTTTCACAATAGGAGAGCGCTAACGCTGACAGGGGACAAGTGTAATCTAGAAATTTTTGAAGGAGAGAAAGGGGTATGACAATCAAGGAGGCCATACACGCGCCCTACAATTGTAGGGACGACTGACGATACGGGCCTTAAAGACTTTTTCTGGTATCACTCGTCTAGGATTAGAAACCTTGGTATTTTCTCGAGTTTTACAAGGTTGTGGAAAAATTAAATAACTTCCTAAAGCTTTACAGCTTTGACCATTCAATCAGACTCCTTAGCCTTGACACAGAACCATGCATGTAGCATTCCGCTTTAGGATTCTGATTCCAAATGTCTGAAACCACAGTATCAACAGTGATACAAGACGTTCCTCCTCCTCCTGTTATTGCCCTGATTGCTCGTACCACTATTCTTGAAGATTTTTCTTGGTGCAGTTGTTGATGCGTCACACGAATAGTTACACCTCTTTGAGTGACATCTGGTACTCAAAAAAAATTTATTGTGTTTCGATTTCCCAGCTCTTGGATATTGTTTGCGCCGAAGTCAAGCATTGTCTAGCTGTATATATATTTTATCATACTCCTTGAAACAACATGTCACTTAATAAACATTGTCAAGCGACTGGATAAAAATAATCAAGCGGAGCTTTCATGTCGATAATAATAGTCTGACTCCCCATAAGAAAGAAACTACGCTTTGCTCTGAATATTTCTTTCCAGGTCCATTTCTCCAAAACGAGATCGTAGAGAATCCATCAGACAACCACCTTCTAATTTTCGATCTACCCACATCCAACAGAGATGAAAAGTTCATAAGCGCGGAACTGAAGATACTCACCTTGATCGATCCCTCAACTTATCTGGAAAACAACCTCAAACGAATCATCAAATTATCAGTCTATGACGAAGCAGTCAAACAGGTCTTAACATACCAAGAGACTCAGTTTGAGCATATTAACAACACGTGGCTCAGCTTTGATGTGACAGGTCCGGTAAGAGACACTTTAGAGACCAAATCAGTGAAGAAATGTCTCAAGATCATCATAACAGTGTATGTGTCTTCATCGCAGATCGGGCATACAGTCAAATTATCTCTACTTCCTGAAAGAGAGAATGAAAACATGGAACATGATTATCCGATTCTGATACTATCATATTCATCTGCTGAAGGAAAGGTAGAAACCAGCAGATCCAATATTCAGGTAATTTCAGCATTTGTGACTCGTTCTTGGATTACAGTTGATTTGATCCTTGGAGTTGTCAATACAACCATTGAGCCACCCTATTTTTCTTGAAAATACTCCACTGGTTCCCTATAGTATAATTAAAAGATACTCTAGTTATTCTTTAAAAAATCAATCACTACTATAGTAACTTATTTTATCTCAAGGGTAATGGTTTCGTAAGGAAAAAACGAAATGTTGAAGACGATGAAGAAGAAGTAACGAACAGATTTTGGGATGATGACATGCCAGGTGTAAGGACACCCATCAGAAGAGCGAAGAAATTGAGGAATACTTGTAAGAGGAAGCCTCTGTATATTAATTTTGCCGAGATCAGTTACGATATGTGGATTGTACAGCCTAGTGGATATGATGTGAGTAAAATATGAGAGCCAAAGATCTTTGCGCAGTCTATTTTGGTCGGTTTTGTAAATATGTTTTACCAAGTGTATTAACTTGTCAATGCAGTTTGGCACAAAATTTACGCAATATTGTAGAAAATTTTGAGTTGTAGTAAAAAACACAGTTTTCTTCTTTTTTATTGAATCATGAGGTACACAGTATAGGATTATACAGGGTGACTTCGAAGTTGAGCCATTTATTTTAACAGTGAGTAGATCTGATCAAAAGAAATGTTTTTTCCTTTACCATTTTTCTGGTAAAATTAAAGTAACAAAGTTATAGCCCTTTGGAAGTTTGAGTACCGCCCTGTCTCAATAATAATATTATGTGCTCGTGTTTGGCAACAACGGATATAATCCGCCTTATCGGTTCATCGCATCGGAAACAAAAAAGCGAAAGAATTTGGAACGATGTTTTTACAATTATTTTATTCAGTTCAGTTATACATACAGTCAGTGTCAGTCGGTAAAGCGTGTGAATAGTGTCTGTTGCGTGGCTCAAACGAAATAAAAAATGGCACATGTTTATGCGGATCGGTTTCCCAATCGAGTGCAACCAACCTCTCGTGCCTTTGTTAATGTAGTACAACGGGCTCGTGAATCAGGTGACTTAAGACCTCACAAGGGACCTCACGATCAAATACAGGTCCGCACTGAAATACTTGTCGGGAGGATACTTTATAAAACAAGGTAAAATTTTTTTTTTAATTTTTATTTTATTTTTACACACATATTTTGGTTTATCTTCCTTCTACAATCATTATCTTAAAATTAATGACGCAACTTCAAAGTCACCCTGTATATGGTATAGCACATCAGGCAGTCTCTTCGGTTTTCACATAAGTACTCTATTGTAGAAATTTGCTGAAGATGAATTTCATTGATGCATCGTTGGATTTATTCCTTGTCAGCATATACCTTTGGCTATAAACAACAACATAAAGTGCAATCCGATGATGTTAAGTAACATGATCTAGGGGGCCAATTCTAATCACAGAAACGAGAAACTTCACGAAAAGTATAATGTATTGTAACGAAAACATCGTACTTATTGTGCAAAGGCAAATTTATTACTCTAACACTAATTTATCACAACACTTGCAACCAATTTATGACAAATTGATAACCATGTCGACTGGACTATAGCTTGTGACTCATCGGACCATTCTCGTTCCACCGTATCTGTCAATATTATTTATTCCCCTATCAACCAGAAATATTCCAAGCCCGGTCGCGAACTTTTATGGAAGTGGTCTAGATGGCAGTAGATTCATCTCGATGATGCCGAACGCAATGTGAACTTGCAGCTCCTCATGAGGCTGCAATCGTTCACGCACAGCCGCGTAACTCTGGTTGCCTAATCAATGTCGCTGCATACCTGTCGAATCTTCTGGTCGATGTATGAATGTGACTCTCTGGTACAGAGAGTTCCAGAGTGTTACAGTATCGTGCATCAATTGAATTGTTTCACAGCCTTTACGGCATTTTATTGTTGAAACCACACGTTATCTGTTTCTAATTTAGAAAGAAAGTGGCACACGGAAGAAATACGTTGGAGATAAAAACTGTGTTTTTGATTTGATTCAAATTTTAAACAATTTTATATTGAACTTGGCTTTGGAACATATTACTTCTCATGATTTTTGTCGAAAAAATGCAGAAGGTAGCCTAGGTTGAATAGGGTCTGTTTGCTCTCCATCTCTGTGGCCACGGTCTGGCCATTTATGACGTAAGCACAAAAAACCGTGAAATGAACTGAATTCTATACAGCTCAGTATACATGTAGCATTTTCTAAACATTTTATGTAAGTTTGGCAGCGCCGCCTCGGTACATGGAGGGCGAAATACCTTGGCAGAATCTCGAGCCATCTACGAGTGAATCCCCAAACCACGGACGTTCCGGTCATAGATCGTTTTTTTTCTACGCCAGCGATAGTCCAAGAGCCGATAAGAGTTTTACTGATACGATATGTTAAGCTCTAGTCAAATCAACAAGTTTGCTGCAGAAGAAACCCAAGGTCGATTGAGTCAACCGGCGGGTTATAAACACATTCCAAAAAGTCGCTTGATTGGGGAGCTGGGTAGCCCAGTGTTTCGAGCTACTAATACTTCGTCTAGACGGTTCGCAGGTTCGAGTCCCACCCTCGGAAATAACATTCTGAGCCAGGGATGTAGTGGTGATGGTTTAGTGAAATGTCCGCCTCATTTGTGTGCATTTCATATTGATTAAGTAAAAATCAGTGTTATAGTATGGCTTCACGCCAGACTAACCAGGACGCCTCAATTGACCTGGTTGATTGTGCGAGAAGCGAATGATGATGATGATGAATATGTTCGCTTAATATAAGTACTCGTTGGTAATGCTTTGCAATTTGTATTTCAGGCGTATCAATGCCAAGGCCGTTGCTTCTACCCTGTAGCAGAGCACCTGAACCCGACCAAGCACGCCATAGTACAGGCGCTACTGCACAGCATGTCTCCTGCCAAGGCGACTAGATCCTGTTGTGTTCCGACAACCCTGGACTCCATATCGATCTTGTACGTCGACGCAAACGGTGTTCTGACCTATAGATATGCTTATAAGGATATGGTGGTTGTTCAGTGTGGTTGCAGATAAATTCTCAAAATAAATCATTATTTATTCTTTGATTTTTGTGTATATACAGGGTGTTCCTTAATCATATGCGAATATTTAAGGGTGAGAATCTACATAAAAAATAATTTCAGTTTGCTTTATAAACTATGGTCCGAAAATGTTTCCTTACAGAAAGTCGGGGTGTTGAAGTTTTAGGAAAATTAATTAATATTTTCAGAACCGCTTCAGATATTTCACTGATATTTAGTACGTAGTAAAAGTTAATAAAGTTGCATATTTTTCAATGCAAAAATAATGTTTTGCTTTAACAGTGGCGCGCGTGCGGGTATTGACTTCGATATTTTTTAAGAAAAAAATGGATTTTGCCAAAAAAAAATTATTTTTGAATTCCGCGTTCAATTTAAAACAAATGATCGCTCTTGAATTGTTTTCTTTCGATGCGCCATTTTTGAGTAAAAAAATAAAAACCGTTCTATTGTCCGAGAAAATTAATGTATTAATTGAAGAATGCAATAAATATCTAGTTGCTCTGGAATATGTCACTGGCATTTGACATCTGACAAGTCTCTGTTATTCAAATCTGATCGCTGTGATATCTTTCTCATTATTTAGTTTTTACAATGTTGTTAATAATGGTGAATTATTCAAATGCAAAAATAACGGAAATACTTTACGTATATGGCCTTGCCGACAGTAATGGTGAGCAAGCCAGACGGATTTTTCACCAGAGATATCCCGATCGTGCTTTGCCAGAGAGTCGAACCTTTCCTAATATTCATCGTCGTCTTGTTGAAGCTGGTTCTGTCGGAAAAGGAACATCTGAAGGTAGACCTCTAAGTGTGAGAACACCTGAAATTGAGGAAGCAGTGGTGCACGAAGTCGATGAACATCCTGAAATGAGTACGAAGAAGATCGCTAGACACTTAAATATTTGCCATCAAATTTTTTGGAGAATTTTAGTGGATTTTTTGTAATGTCCTTACCATATTTAAAGAGTACAGGCATTACTTCCCATTGATTTTCCAAGGCGTGTGACCGCAATTTGAATCAATGATTCTGTTCACCGACGAAGCTAATTTTTCTCGAAATGCCATTCAGAATTTCCCCAACAATCATTTGTGGGCAGAAGAAAATCCCTATGCCGTAACCGAAACCCATTTCCAACACCAATTTTCGGTTAACGTATGGGCAGGAATTATTGGCAACCACTTTATTGGCCCATTCTTCTTGCCGGGACGACTTGACGGACAGACTTACCTCAATTTTCTTCAACAACAGTTGCCTTTGCTGCTTGATGATGTTCCATTAGTAATAAGAAACAATATGTGGTACATGCATGATGGTGCACCAGCGCATTTCAGTGTAGCGGTTCGTAATTATTAACAAACTGTTTATCCAAATCGTTGGATTGGCTGCGGTGGGCCCCAAGAATGGCCACCAAGGTCCCCAGACCTCAACAGTTTAGATTTCTTTTTGTGGGGCTATCTTTAGACACTAGTGTACACAAGTCCCATTAACACTGTAGAGGAATTAAGAGGAAGAATAGTTGCAGCTTGTGATAGAATAAAAAACACTCCAGGGATATTTCAATGACTGCGCAATTCCATGAGAAGGAGGGCAGAAGCATGCATACTAAGTGAAGGGGGCCATTTTCAACAATTTTTGTAATCATTTAGTTGGTTTCAATGTTATGTTTATGTTGTCAGTTGTTCTTGTTCATTACCCCTAATGTGTTTAATTTGTTAAATTCATGAGAGATCATTAGTTTTAAATTGAACTGGGAATTCAAAAATAATTCTTATTTGGCAACAAACTATTGGCGTACCATTTTTTCTTAAAAAATATCGAAGTCAATACCCGTACGCACGCCACTGTTAAAGCTAAAAATTGTTTTTGCATCGAAAAATATGCAACCTTATTAACTTTCATTACGTACTAAATATCAGAGAAATATCTAAAGCGGTTCTGAAAATATTAATTAATCTCCATTATTTTCCTACGTCAATTTTTTTTTATAGATTCACACCCTTAAATATTCGCATATCATTAAGGAACACCCTGTATATTGAAAACAAATCGTGGAGAAGCATTTTGCAAGAAAGACCCTAGCGGTAACCGAAAGCGCGAGCTCTTGAGATTTTTTTACTTCCCAGACCAATTGGCCAAGAGGTAATGCAACCGCAAAAAATTTCGAAGATGAAATATCGTATTTTGTCGATGTTGTATATGACATCTACATCCCGAAAAAACATGTCACTCATTTCCGTCGGTCGGTCTGTCTGTCCGCTAATCCTTGACTTCTCTATAACTTGAGAAGTATCGCTCAAATTTTGATCAAATTTCCACACAAGGTTACTACTATGTCGAGGACGAAAAAGCTTTGTAGATTTTGAAAAAGGCACCGGAGCAAGGGACAAAAAACGAAAAAAAACTCATTTTTTAAAACTTATTTTTCAGAGGCTCATTTTTGGGATAAATGTAGGAGTTTAAAATTAGGGGTATAGATGGGGGAGTGCATATATCTCTCAATTTTTGGCGATAGTATATTTATAGGCTTCCAACCCCGCTCATTCTACACACATATTGGTACATTTATCATACATTATAGATTTCTCCTTATATTTCTCTGGAAACTGTGAGAAATGTCAAGTATACGAGTTGCGCCTAGGTTGCAGTTGCCGTACGATACGACATCACACCGGTACGCACAAAATCCTGCCTGCGACTGTCGCTGCCACATAACCTCTCACCGCCACACTGCTTGGCCCCCATAGCGTGGCAGGCTTTGCCAGATGGTCGACGAATTCACTAAGAGAAGGGAAGAAATTTCTAGACGCAGCGTTATCAAATGGTTGGGACCAGGATCTATTTGAATGGGCCTGTTTGGCTCACTTGATCGATTTAATCATTGTGTTATAATCTTCTTCTGATCTAATCTGATGACAGCGTTGCGTGGAGTGTACAGAGACAGCCTACTTGAAAATATTGCTGAAATCGTGTACGTTTAATTGTTATTGATTATTTAGAAGGCAAGTAGTTTCTTTCCATCCTTGTTCTCCTCCATGTTACACTCATATCCAGATGTGTGTTTTCGATTATATCCATTCGGGTCTGCAGACTAGGTAGTTTTTAGGCTGCAAACAGTCATTCCGCGTTTGCTCACTAGAATCGTTTTGAGCGTCCATCTATGGAGGAATTACTCAACTACACGCATTGTTGGTTGCATAAGTTTTGTGAAATCGAGTAGTCCGATTTTGATCTCTGAGAAGATGTGAAAGAAAGTTTGTTATTTTTTCGAAAGGCTTACCTGGAACTAGAAGAAAAATCATTGATAAGGCAAGAAGCTCGTAAATGATAAATCTGACATGCATGAAATCATCTTTTGTATTTTTTTCATCTAGGTTTAAAAAATTTTTGAGATGGGGGAATATTTCGTCGACAAAGAATCTCCACAATTTTCACTACCTGACGATATTGTACAAACAGGTATTGATTGATTTATTAGGACTAATGTCATTAGTCAAGATAATAAAACTCAAACCATAAAATATCGGAAGCATTGACCGAGTTATAAATAATTTAAGCTAGCGGTTAGCGTCATTTCGTCCTCATATTTGGGACACTCATAATTACGTTTACAGACACTTCGAAACTTTTGCTAGGCAAGAACGGACTTCCTTTTAGAAGTTTAAAGCCAATATGTATAAAAACACTTTATACGGGAAGATCCAGGTAGTTTCCTTACGGGAAATGGCTTTCGGATAAATTTGTTGAAATTTCCCATAGAGGTAGTTTTTAATAATTCCCTTTACCCCCTACGGAACCCAGAGACCAAAAAGTAGGGGTTATTTACAGATATGGGAGGACAACGTAAGTCTTAATAGTAGATAGTATTATTAGAGAGAAGTAAAACATACTATTGCTAGGATTTCTCAAAGACTGTCAAATGGTGACCATGGATTTGACCTTGACAGTGACGTTGCAGGTTATGTCCAAGGCTAGGTAAGTTTTTAACAGTCGTACACCCTACTTTTCATTTACTTTCATATACTTAAATCAAATCCAAGCGAATAACCAAAATTTCTGTGTTATGTGCCGCGGTTATAATATGGTTCAAGATGACACACGGGTTGATGACGTCAGTTACACGAATCGCTTGAACGCGTTGGTTTTAACCGCGGTTTTGTTGCAAGTTGTTTATTTTAGAAAAGCGCATATATAATCTCTGATTATTTTTATTATCACTTAATAATCGGTGCTTTTTCGTCTACAACTGTATATGGAAAGTTTAAATAAGAAACCTTTCATAATATTCATGGGAGAAATGTTTTCTTCAGATTTTTTTTTTAATGATGGAACCATCGCTTTGTAGCTATGATAACTTTCAATTCTCTAAATTTTTCCGCATGTAAAAAAAAAACATTTATTGATTCAGCAGAAATGATGAAAAAAGAAATTAGCAAAACCGTATACAGGTGGATATCATCTAGTGAGTGTATATGGACATATTTTAATATTCTTGTAGTATATGGCTACACAGGATACTTTGTTAAGCATAGGAACTACATTTAAAGTGTCCCCAACAACCGTAATGAGTATAACTAATAAGGTGCTCCACTTTATGGTAAAACTGAAGTCAGCCTGTATCAATTTTCTCAAAAATGAAGCTGAAGTACAATAACAATATCCAATATCCGGCAAAATTCTAACTTGTCACATTTCAAATAATAACCAGAAATATAAAACTACTTTTGAGTTGGGTAAATACCACAATTTTGCGGTGATAACTATGACATATAACAGCTGATTCGTGATGTCACAGATCTTATAACCAAACTGATAACTACACTCGCTTGAACGGATCGGTAAATACCAACCCAAAATGGTAAATACCATTTCCATTTGGTTATCCGCTTGATTTTGATTACTGTGTTTGAGCATTTCGAAAACATAACATTTGAAAGTCATTATCTCGAAACCCGTCCCCGACCTCCTATAGGACCCAGAAGCGGGCGTATTGATAGATGATTCTTGTAACGTGTA